CTGGAACTGATTAGGTGCACTCCTTTCTGAAGAGCAGGGCGAGCTTGAAGAAGCTCTGGTCCAAAGGCTGAACATTAAGTGTTGGCAGTGGCAGACTTGAATTCAAACCACAGCTCCAGTTTGGACTTGCTGTTGGGTTGTGGACAAAAAGGTCTAGTCACCTCGAGTGCTTATATACCCAGAAAGGTGAGATATAAATATAAATATGACAATAACCACGCTGTGCATCATGACTAGAAACAAACCCTGCTCAACCTAGTGGAGTTATCTTCACATAAGCATGCACAACATTGCAGGGCTACACTGCAATCCTGTATATATGTCTGCTCAGAAGCAAATTGCATTAAGTTCAGTGGGACTTACTCCTAGGTACTGTAGGCAGAATTGTTGCTTCACTCTCTGGAGTTGTGGACTCTTTTGCTATCGAGAACATTAGATTATGAAATCTGTGGAAGTCTAATAACTGATTATTGTGATCTGGAGCAGAATAGGGATCTGTCAGACCAAGGCTCAAATGTAGGTCAGTGTGAGAAATTTTGTAGGAGGAATAAAAGAATTTGATCACAAGGTGTTGACTAAAGTGCCTCTGCTCACTGATTAGTTTTCTAATCTGTTCTCTTCTGCCTCTATTATATGAAGCCTATATACTCATACCTGGTCACCTCTGAGAAGCAGGTAATAGAGAAGGCAATGTAGCCATCTGGGTAACTTCATCCTAGATTTTCTCTCTCAATATTCTATTTATTTTGACTGTTACAAAGGTATAGCTTTGAGGCTTGCTGGGGCTTGCCAACCAGAGTCAAGGAGTGAGGGTGCCAGCCAGGGATTTCTGCACCCAATTCTCAGTGAGCTGCCTTCTCTTTCTTCTTTTTATTGTCAAATGACAATCCAGGGAAGAGGACACCGGGGAATCAAAGGGCTTTATTATTGCAATTAAGGCACCATCCAGAACTGTATGATAAACACACTCCACCCTTGCTGCCCTGAGGGAAGAAACATTTTGCAGAACGTGCTGGAGCCAAAGAGGGATGTGCAAGCTCTCTGGTGCAATTTGTAGCAATAATGCTGAAATGCAGAAGAGAACTCAAGACATTAGAAGGCACACGTACATGTGTGTGTGCGCACACATCCACACACGCAGTTGCCTGCCTGCCCATACTGATGTAGCTAACGTTATGGAGGAACTCATTTCTTGCTGCCCCAAGAGAGCTTATTTGGAGGCTGTTTACCATCTTAAATATGGAGAGAAAGGGTAAAGCCCTCCTGATCTCTCTGAACACATTTCTGATGTGGCTGCGCCACAGAAGGAGGCAGTGCTACCCGGAGTAAATGACTTACAGCTACACATTTTTCTGGAAAATTCAACTCTCCCTGGCAAATGAAGGGTTACCTTAGCACTAATGTGAAAGTGCCCCCGACTCTTCTGGATCCCTTTGCCGAGGCTTGAAACAGAACAGCCGAAGAGGACAAGTGTAGTTTGCAGGCCCTGGCCAATAGGGAGCATCAGATGTTCAAGAGCCGAGGGCTGGCTGGCTTGAGCCAGGCTTCCTGTGCGAATACTTGGTTGGGAAGATCAGAGTAAAAGAGTTAACCGTTTTTCCACTGCTGTCTAGTTATCCATTGGGCTGCAAGAGCCATTCTAAAGGGAAAAAACGTATACAGCCAAGAAGAAATAGCTGCAGTATAGATGAGAAAACACGAGGCTCGGCTGCCGTGCACATTTTTCCTTCAGCTTGAAAAGGTTTAAGTCTCCAGTACCAGTCCAGCAGACAATGTGGTGGGGGAGAAAGGAGATCTCTACAAACACACTGAGGTCATAGAATGAAAGGCCTGGGAAAGAGTAATCATTCAGGTTTTTTTTAAGAAACTTTTTTTTAAAACCACGGAGACATTAGCATTTGGTAACAGACTACAGCTCAAGTATTACAAATATGCTCTAATTATACTCATAGTTGGCTATATATCACTGTGCAGATCCCTGATAGGCCTTTGTGGGACATTTTGTAAAGTTCAGTCTAAATATTTTTAGTAATGAAGAGATTTAAAAGGAAAACCCAAAGAGATATTGTATATATCTCAAAGCATATTTTGTCTTCAATATTATCTTTGGCCAACTGTACTATATAAATACAGTAAATATGAATAGCCCTGGCATGGTGCCAATCTCCTGGGATGAATTTTAGTCAAGAAGGTATTTATGGGATATACATAATACTGTGTCAACATTTAAAGAAGGGACCTGATTAGCTCAGAATTTATTCATATTAAACTTTTCACGTGCTGCTGGGTTAAGACTTGAAGTGGAGTTGTGCTAAAGTTTTGCCAGTCATTTGCACTTAGGGAGTAAAAGGGCATTTGGCTTCTGCTGAATGGGCTGAAGGGGCTGTAAGAGAAACTAGGATAAGTTGCTGAATGTGTCCCAAAAAACCACAGAACTGGATTTTCTTCCAGATAGGCAATGACATGTCAGTCAGATTACTTTCCTGTGCCTACCTATAAGCATACCCAGTAGAGTTTCTGAGTAGATATGTGTTTATTAATTCAGAATCAATATATATTTCTGAATCATTGATACACATTACCCTTGTGTCTCTATGTCCTATCACCCTAGAAATTTCTCTACTGATTGGGATGGATCCAGCTTCCATCCTAAGGCTGTACATAAAGTATTTATCATAACACTTTATCAGCTATTTCATTTCCCTAGGTTTCCTTGGGGGAAGCCATTACATTTAAAGTGAAAGACAATGTACATGTAAGTTCTATTGAATTAGCAAACAAATTCCATCTGTCTGACTGTCTAGCTATTGTCTTATGCCCAATCGCACTCATAAATAGTAAGAGCAGAGTGGGAAGGATCAACTAGTAAAGCTCCCTCCCTGGTTGCCTAAAGCAGTTATTCGTTCTTAAGATAAAAATAGATAGCTGCAAATCTGTATGAATGTGACATAAACATATATTTTAGGTATGCACTAGGTTGGAATCCTGAACATACCTTTTAGCAGGCTGGTTCTATTAAACCCAGTAGCATCTCTTCCCAAATTAACACACATATAGTTGAGCAACAGCAGATTTCCCAAACCCGGTGCCTTTTGGATGTGCTGGGATTACAACTCCTGGCTGGGAAACAGGTTGGGGGCTGGTAAAGGCTAGGCAAGAGCCTGCTATTCATTTTGGCGTAATCCAGTGGAGCTGCTTCACATCATCAAGTATGTTTTCTGCTATGCATACACAGACATTAGTCACACCTACAACTTATATTTTCAAATGCACATATAAAATTAAACATAACATCCACAGTATGACTGTGCTTGAAAGGAAAACCTGATGCTGGAACATTTGGATATTCTCCTCCGAATGTCTTTTTAAACTAAATGTCTTTTTAGTTCAGTGTTGATTTATTAGTAATTTGGGTAGTTACACAAGATTTTATGTGTAGTACCAGGTGTGAGCATATCAGTGCTTAGGCCAGAGCAGAACTCATTCATTAAGAGATGGGGAATCAGTGGCCTTCCAGATGTTGCTGAACTACAACTGGCAGCACCTGTCACCCTGTGGGAGTTATTCTTCAACAATATTAGGAGGGCAGCAAGACCCCTCCTTCCCTCATGCAT